CCCCATCCTGGAGTCCAGAACCAGGCAGCCCTAGCCGCCCCCCGCCCCCGGCACCGACCTCAGGACCCCGTCTCCCCGCACACCAGGAGGGAGGCCAGGGAGGAGGGGAAGGGCTGCGAGGGAGGGGAGCACCGGGAGTCCCCAGAGAGTCCTGCTAACCCACAGCACATAATCCTGTTAAAATATTAATCCTCATTTAGCCGGAGGCGAGGTGGCGGCGGAGATAAGGCTCCTGAGCAGGAGTGAGAGGCCGCGGCCCCTGCCCGAGTGGACGGTCACGCTAATGACCTGCTGTCGTGAGCTTGGGCCGGGCCCAGCGTCGGGAACAACCAGCAGCAGGCAGGTCCCCGTTGGCAGTGGGCAAGGGGGTCACCACCGCCCGCAACAGCAGAAGGAGGTTTTCACTGGGGGGAGGGGGGTGTCTGCTAATCTCTCCAGCAGAGGGAGGGGGGAAGGCTGCTTCTCTCAGCTCCTTCTTCCCCCCACAGAGCCGCTGGACAGCTGGACACTGGACTGCTGTGGCCCTTTGGGAAGGAACTGCCAGCCTCAGGCCACTGTCTCTCCCCACAGGAACACCACCATGGCCAAAAAGATCATGATGCCTCCTGGCGGTACACTTGCTGAGCCCAGGCCTGTCTGCGTGTGGCTCCTGATGGCCTCCCACTGTCCCCCAGACACCTGTCCCAGGCTCCATGACTCAGGCCTCCCCGGGACACGGGGATGAAGCTCCCCAGCCAGCCCCCAGCCAGGGGTTCCCAGGGCCCCCGCTCCCAAGGCAGCTGGTATGGCAACGGCGGCATCAGGGTCCCTGTTAGGAAAGGGTCATCTGCCACGCCCCCAAGTCAAATTCTTTACTTCCATCCTGATGGCAACACTCCTCCCCAGGAAACAGTGTGTTGGCGACACCACAGCCTTCACTCCGATGGGGCATGGACAGGGCACTGGGAGAGGCCCATTAGACCCAAGTTTGCCACCTGTCACCGTGGACATGGGGAGCGTAGGGGATCAGGACTTCCACACGCCTTCAACAGAGGGGATGGCCCCCGGCCAGAGCACCTGCTCCCGTGTCCAGCCCCCGGCGGGGTGTCGGGGGCTCCCTGGCAGGCTGCACCTGCCCAGGACTATCCTGGTTTGGAGACATCACTCTTCTGCTCATGCCACCCACGCCACCTTCCTGCCTACTGTGTGCCGGGCACCGTACCAGGAGACGGTACGGCCAGAAACAAGGGCACTGTCACTTGTCACACCCAACTCTTGGTCTCTAGTATCAGCGCCAAGAAAAGGAACCAGGGTCCTTGAGAAACGCCTGATTCCAGGGCTGGGGCGGCAAACACGGGAGGGGAGCCTGGACACCCTCTGGTCCTAGAGGACAAGGATGGGCTTGAGGACACAGAGCGCCGGGCATAACAAGGGACCCAGGAGCCCACAGAAAGAGCTCCCGGTGGCCAGAGAGGAAGCAGTTAGAGCAAGGGGATGGACAGGGAGCAGCGGGTTATAATCCCACTGCGAAAGAGACATCCGTGAGCCCGTGCTGGCATAACTCACTGAACGGATGGACAAACGGGGAGAGGAGACCAGTCTCCCGCTCAGAACTCCAAACAACGGGTGGAGACCCTCTGTCCCCGTGGAGGTGGGGCACGACCCCTCGCCCCCAAAGTGTGCGGGGCACACGGTGACCTTCCTGCCAAAGAGCAGAGCGCGAGAAAGGAGAACCGTCCTGCGGAGACACCCGGAGACGCGATCGTGGTGAAAAGGTCACGCCGAAGCGGTGAGTCACGGTGATAAGACGTACCCTTGATAGGATATAATGGCAGCGACACTTTATCTCTGTGCCCCTCCCCTCAAGCCCCAAAACCCCCGTGTAATCAACGGAAAGAGAACAGATAATGCCAACAGAGGGACACAACACCTGACCAGCACTTCTCCAAACCGTCCATGTCATCAAAAACAAGGAGAGTCTGAGGAACGATCACACCCCAGAGGGACGCAGGGACACGGTGATGACCTAACAGGATCCTGGAACAGGGCCAGGGCAGCAGGGCAGGCACGTGGTAACCTGAGCCTAACGAGGACTTGTCAACATCGAACAGGATGATGACACCCACACGCTCGCGCCGCCGTGCAAACACACCGCACAATGCAACATGTCACCAGCACAGGAGACCAGGCGGGCGGCGTGCGGGAACCCGACCATCTTCACGATGTTTCCACAAGCCTCAGGTTGTCGTCAAATAAAGAGTTTATTTTAAAAAAATGTTCTCCCTAACCAAAAGTACGGTAGATGTTTGCACAAATTCTCCTTCCAAGCAGCATATTTACTTGTCCGACAAGTACCGGGTGAAGCCTACTCTGGGCCGGTCCTCATGCCAGGCTCGGGGATGCGACGTGAACAGTATGGCAAGCCCCGTCTTCGGGGAGCGTTGGGTCTACCGTCTACCTGAAGAATGACCAATGTGCAAGAGGGCGGGGAAAGTTACGAGTGACAAACAAAAATGACGAATGCCTGCGAAAAAGATTCAAGAGTGCAGATTCCAAAAACACACACATTACAAAATACACACAGAACCGATGAAGGCCCAGGATGCGATGGCCACTTGGACCCCCTCTCGACGGTCCGAGAGATCAGCACTCTGCCCATGGGGAGCAGAGCTAAGGAGGTGGGGCGTGGAAAATCTCTGAGCCTCTCTGAGGTTCGCTTTCAGACATCACTGTATGTTAAGGACACGAAAGGAATAAAAAAACCCAATGGACACCGTGGCGCAGAGGAGATGGGACAGCTCGTGGCTGGTGGGACCAGCGACTCACAGCCTAAGCCGTTCCTGACAGCAAGAGGACTCGATGCACCAAGCAGCCTCTCCCTCCTTGTCCAAGGGCCCTTCCAGGGCAGCGCACCCCAAGGAAGTAATGTGAACACAAGAGGGAAAGTCAGTGATAGCACCATGGTGATAGCTGCACTGGGTTTAAAAGTCAGCGGGAAACCTGGGGGCAGGGGGTGGCGGTGTCAGTCGGTGAAGCATCTGCCTATGGCTCAGGTCATGATCTCAGGTCCTGGGATCGAGTCCCGTATCGGGCTCCCTGCTCAGCAGGGGTCTGCTTCTCCCTCTCCCTCTGCTGCTCCCCTTGCCTGTGCTCTCTCTCTCTCTCTCCCAAGTAAATAAATCTAAGAAAAGAAAAAAAAAGTTAACAGCCTCAAAGCCTGACATGAGGGTCCTCAGCGGCTGGTGCCTTGATGGCATTTAGAAGGGGGTGGCAGCAGGGTCGTGCAGCCTGGCTCCTCCTCTATGCCGCGTGCCGGCCTCGGCTTCCCCACCCATAAAGCGAGCATATTACCAACTCCTGCCTTCCAGAACCACCCGGAAGCCTGGATGAGCTCCCGGTAAGCCAGGGCCCGGTCTGCGGGAATGCCCCGGCACTGCTGGCTTCGGGTGCGAGTACACCCTCTGCTTGCGGTCGTGCTCTCAGAGGCCACGGCAGGGAGAGGGAACCGACAGGGGAGAGCCTCCCGGGAGGTGCAGGGGGGATGCGCGCTGAGCCGTGGAGGAGGCCGAGGCCTTTCCCGCCATCTCCAGACCGGCCCCAGGCAGGCAGGCAGGCAGGCGAGGGGCAGCAGGACTTGAATCCACAGCCGGCGCCAGCGTGGGGGGGGGGGGGGGGTGCGCGGTGACACCGTGTCCCGGAGGCCCCGCTCACCCTCACCCCTGCACGCACCCGCTGCCCGGAGCAGCGCTGCCGCAAACCCACGGCAGGTCTGGGCACGCGTGCCCGAGTCTGCCCCCGGGCCACAGCGTCGGCCCGACTCCTCTCCTGCCCGCCCCCGCCCCCCGCGGCCTGCCCCTCGGGTCCCGCCCGCTCACACCCAGCCAAGCCGCCCAGAGCCCGGGCCCGGCCTCGCGGAGCCCGACCGAAGGAGCAAGGCAGGGTGCGTCCGCGTCTCCCTGCGGGGCTGCCGCCCACGCCACCCAGGACGCCCTCGGGGACCGCCCCTCGGCGCACACGCGCGCTGCCCGGGAGCCCCTCGCCGTCCAGCCCGCGGCGGCCCCGCAGCGGCAGGCGCCACCGAGAGGAAAACTCCACAAGGCAGAGCCTGGCTGTCGCGTGACATTTTTCTTTCGCCCCACTGGTCAGAATGTGTCACATGACCCAGCTGCGCTGAAGGGGATGCTGGGAAATGTAGTCTTTATTCTTGGCAGCCATTTTATTCTGGAAGACTACTAATCTATAAGATACAGGCTCCTCCATGACCTACCCCCTTGTCTCCAGCCCGACCTCGCCCATCCTCCATTTCACCGCCCTTGGGAACCCGGCAGTTCTTCACCTGCACGTCCACCCCCTACCTGGAAGGCTTCCCTACCCACTCTGCTGCCCGCATCCATCCCGCAGGCCTCCTGGGATGTCAGACCCTGGTCCTTGCCCCCCAACACCAGTGTAAACGTGGCCCCGCTGTTCTCTCCCAGAGCACAGCTGCCCGGTCGTTCCCTGGAGCTGGGGCTCCCGTGGACAAAGCCAGGCTTGGGCTGAGCTTCTGGTCCTTGGCTCCCGAGTCCTGGGAAGCCTAACCTAGAGCCTGACCGAGGCAGGCCTAAGACCCAGACACCCTAGAGCTCTCCCTAACTTAGAAGCTGGAGGGGGCCCCTCCCAGTGCTCTGGGGTCAGGGAGAGCAGGGCACAGAGACCAAGAGTGGCTAGGACAGGTGGAGTGGGGACCCAGGCCTGTGGGATGGAGTAGCCCCTTCTGCTCTCCAGGCCTCTGGGACTGGTCCCTATCCTCCCCGCAAGGACGGGTGTGCACAGGGGTGGGGAATGGAGGGGAGGAGCAGCCAGCCCAGAAGGCTCTGCTGGCAATAAAGGCAGATGCCACGTGAGGGCTGGGCTAGGGTGGCAGGCACACGGTGACCAGGGCTGTCTCCTGAGAAGCGGGTATGTGCATAGTCTCGTGTTCATGGAGGCACAGGGCAAGACCGGCCCGGCTGACCCTGGGAATTTGCTCCTCATCAGGAACCCACCTGAACGTCTTCATGTCGGGGCGCTTGGCTGTCTTCCTGGCCCTGGCTCTGGCCACCCTCCCGGCTCCAGGGGCAGGGGCTCCGCTCGGCAGGAGGGGTTCCCAGAATAAGCTGCTGCTCGTGTCCTTTGACGGTTTCCGCTGGAACTATGACCAGGACGTACAAACCCCAAACCTGGACGCCATGGCGCTGGACGGAGTGAAGGCTCGCTACATGACGCCAGCCTTCGTCACCATGACCAGCCCCTGCCACTTCACCCTAGTCACAGGTGAGCGTGCGCCTCAGGCTGGGGCCTGGGGACAGGGAGGGGGCTGAGGAGGGAACCCAGCGCCTGCACGGAGCCCAGTCCTCCAGGCACCACACAGGGACAAAGGAGACCGAGGAGGGGATGCTGTCCCTGGAGACACAGCACAGCCAAGGGGGGTCATCAGCAAGCCTCACTGTTGGCGGGAACTTATACAAGGCGTCAAAATGCCCAGCGGTCCCATTTTAAACAGTGACCCCCAACCAAGGTGTCCACGCAGGAGGGCTTCTGGAGGAAGTGAGCGTGGCTGGGCTCCAGACGGGCGGGAGAGATGAACCTGAGGTTCTTGTTGTTCCCACGCCGACCCCGGAGATGCCCTCAAACCATGGCTCTGTTTGGGCTGGACGTCTAGCATGAAGGTGTCAGGAGGGCCACGCTCCCTCGGGAGAGTCTGGGGGACCCTACCTGCCACTCCCAGCCTCCGTGGCGCTTCCGTGGCCTGTCTCTCCAGCCCCAGCTGTCCCCTCGTCTTGTGAGGGTGTTCGTGCACAGACACAGGGCCCACGGTGACTCAGACCGCCCTCATCCTAACCTAACTCTCACATCGGCAATGACCCTATTTCCAAGCAAGGTCCCATGCTGAGGTTCCAGGTGACCGCGACCTCGGGGGGGAGACCCGATTCAGAACAGACGTTGATCCACGTGCCAGCATTCTGTGACCGGGGCCCCCGCTGCGAGCATCTTCCCGCACGGCACCTGTTTCCTTACTAGACCACGGAGGGGGACGCGGGGGGAGGGGCACGCGGCTTAACGTCCCTCCTGCTGTAGCTTCCGGGCATGAGTGACTGTGCATCCCGCACACAAAGTGAATTTTAGAAAAGAGCTCATGGATGGAGCTCCGCGTGAGGCATTTAAATGTCTGGGATTCTGTTTCTGCCGTAACTGTTCATTAGTTCCCTCCCGCTAGCCATCTGGGTCGCTCCCGGTCTTTGCTAAAATCCACAAGGCTACAGATGACATCGGCACACCTACAGCACGTTCAGCTGTAGGAGAAGCCGCTGGAAGGGGTCGTGGAGACTCGGGGCTGGAGAGGATGTGTCTGGGACCCCGAACGGGGACTCCCCCCACCCCTGGCCGCGTATGGGAAAGCCTGCCCTCTTGCCTCCTGCCCTCCCACCTCCTACCTCCCCTCTGCCGTCTCCTCCCCGCAGGCAAATACATCGAGAACCACGGGGTCGTCCACAACATGTACTACAACACCACCAGCAAGGTGAAGCTGCCCTACCACGCCACCCTGGGCATCCAGAACTGGTGGGACAACGGCAGCATACCCATCTGGATCACGGCCCAGCGACAGGTAGTGCGGGCCCCGAGCCCACGGATGGCAGTCGGGGGACAGGGGACGGGAGGACCCGGCCCAGAAAGGCTGTGACCTTGTGAGATCCCGGCCCCAGGGTCCTGGGCTGACAGCACGGAAGGGTATTAAGTGGGGCCCCGAGGGCGGTGAGTGCCAGGTGTGGATAAGCAACTGCCAGCAGGCTCCGTGGCCCTGCCCAGTCCTCCCTGCAGCCCTGGACCCAAGGGGATGGCTCCACCCTCCCGAAGGGAAGGAAAACTGCAGCACTGGGCCCCAGGCTCTGGGAGAGCGCGTCCACACAGGAAAGATAAGTTCACTCAACAAAAGGGCATCTCACAATAAAACAGCTTTCTGCCTTCCCCCTTCAGGGGAACTCCTCTCCGGGCTGGGCCACCAACTTCCAGTGGCAAAGGGTCAGTAAGGGGTGGATTGTAGTGCCGAACCCAGGAACCTCTCCATCCTGCAACGCTCTGGGGGAATCCCTGGCCCCGGAGGTGTGGCTGCTCGCCAACAAGGTCAAACGCAGATTTTCAAGATGATCCCAGAATGAACTTCGGAGCCTACGCCCATCCTCTGGGCAGGGCGTCTGCTCAGGTCCGGGTCCCTTCGCTCTAGAAGGAGCTACCGGACGTCAGGCTCACGCTCAAAGTCAGAGCCAAGAGCTGGGCATGGCGTGGTGCCCAGTGGAAACAGAAGGGCAGCTGGGAAGCGGATATGCAGACAGGGCAAGCTCGGACCTCTGTGGTTCCAGGGAGAGGGTCTCTAAATAAAGCCGCCATCAATGTGTGCAAAGACGGATGGGTGGCCAGGCCAGAAGGGCAGGCGAGGAGACATAGGTAGAAGGGCCTGGACGAGAATATAGTCGGGAGAGGCCAGGCTCCAGGCCAGAAGGGGAGGGCTGTCCGGGCAGCTCCGCTGTGGGGACCCAGGGCCATGGTGACGATGAGGATGCTGCATACCTGGGGACATCTTTGTACCCGTTATGTCACTAGTGCTGGGTCCCCTGGGCACCGGCTCCCTCCTCTATAAAATCAGTTTCACCTGTGGGAACGTAAGAGTTATAAGAGGCCGGTGCCTGCGGCGGGAGCAGGGCTGAGTGAGCAGGCAAGAGGAGAGGCGGCAGGCAGGGGGGCAGCAGCGACTGCGGCAGGAGCTGGTGGGGGCGGGGGACAAGCCCAAGGAGGCCTGTGGCTTTAATGCCCCCTTCCCTGGCAGGGCTTAAAGACTGGCTCCTTCTTCTACCCCGGTGGGAACGTCACCTACCAAGGCACGGCGGTGACCCTGAGCCGGAAGGAAGGCGTTCTGCACAACTACAAGGACGAGCAGGAGTGGAGGGCCAACATCGATGCGGTGATGAAATGGTTCACTGACGAGGGCCTGGACCTGGTCACGCTCTACTTTGGGGAGCCAGACTCCACGGGCCACAAGTATGGCCCCGAGTCCCAGCAGAGGAAGGACATGGTGATGCAGGTGGACAGGACGGTGGGCTACCTTCGGGACAGCATCAGGAGGAGCGGCCTGGAGGGCAGCCTCGACCTGATCGTCACGTCCGACCACGGCATGACCACCGTCCACACGCAGGCCCAGGACCTGGTGGAGTTCCACGCGTTCCCCAACTTCACCTTCAAGGACATCGCGTTTGAGCTCCTGGACTACGGGCCCAACGGGATGCTGCTCCCCAAGGAAGGGATGCTGGACAAGGTGTATGAGGTCCTCAAGGACGCCCACCCCAAACTCCACGTCTACAAGAAGGAGTCCTTCCCCAAGTCCCTCCACTATGCCGGGAACCCCAGGATCACCCCACTGCTCATGTACAGTGACCCTGGCTACGTCATCCACGGGGTGAGCTCCTTGCCCGACACCGGGCTCGGACAGGTTTCTCCACTGGGCGGCTGGGTCTCTCCCTTGCTGTAAAAAAGCTCCCCCGTACCGCTCACGAGTCCCCACTTGGAGGGGCACCGGCCACCAAAGGGACACACCCATCACTGTGCAATCGGTATGAGTGTGTGTGCGTGTACATGGGCGTAAACATGTGAGATCTATGCACGTGTGGGCGACGTACACGCTTCGTGTGTGTGTGTGTTGTGTGAAAGCATGGACGTGTGTGTATTTGCATGTAGGGTAAAGCGTGGGAAGACGGGCTGTAAGAAATGAGAAATGAGAGAGCCAAGGGATGCCAAAGGGGAAGGAAGATGCAGGGGGGGAGGGGAGAGGGCCTCGGGGAAGGAAGTGCCACCCTGCGAGCCTAGGGGTGCACCTGGATTAGCAGGTCTTCCCAGAGGCCCTCCCTCAGGCCGCAGGTCTTTGGAGGCTCAGAATTCAGAGACACCCTCCTGCCCCCACCTCCGTCAGTGTGAACCCCTCCCAGGGGTCTTCTGCCCCCACAGGGGCGCTGCCGGTGGGGAGGGCAGGGGTGGGCTGGGAGTCCCCACGGAGGCTCAGGACACCCCCTCCCTGGCAGAGACTGAACGTGCAGTTCAACAAAGGAGAGCACGGTTTCCACAACGAGGCCATGGACATGAAGACCATCTTCCGGGCTGTGGGCCCCAGCTTCAGGAGGGGCCTGGAGGTGGAGCCCTTCGAGAGCGTCCACGTGTACGAGCTCATGTGCCATCTGCTGGGCATCGTGCCCGAGGCCAACGACGGGCTCCTGAGCACCCTGCTGCCCACGCTCTGGGAAGCCAGCAACCCCTCGGGTAAGGGGCTGCCCATCAGCCACAGCGCCAGCAGCCGCTGGGACCGCCTTTCCTTTCTTTGTCCTGCACCCCGGAAACATCTCAAGCCCCTGGCAGCGACGAGGGGAGGGCAGGTGGATGTGAGCAGCCTTGGGGAGCCCGAAGGCCAGAGAAGCAGGCCCTTTGCCCACAGGACAGGCCCCCTGGTGAAGTCCACCTCAGGGCTCCTGGCTGCCCGTGACCTGCTCTCCCGCGTGGCCATGAGGGCTCCTTCCCAGAGTCTTCCTCTATGGGCCTCCCCCGAACACGCTCTCACCCCCACCCTGCCCATCCCCAGGCCAGAGGTCACCTGGGAGCTGACAAGACGGCAGACCCCAGTGGGGGCCTGGCTGGAGGTGCGGGCCCTGCTCCTCAGGGGAGGGGCCTGGTGAGAGCCGAGGTCAGGGGCTTGTGGGAAGTTGGGGGGAGGGCACTGGGCCGACCCTCGAGGAGCAGAGAGGGGGTGAGTGACGTGCTCCGCTTCCCTCATTCACTGGGTTCTCTGAATTTCCTCAGGCTCTGCTCTCCTGCCAACTGGCCGGCCCCCCGTGGTGACAGGACTGCTGGTAGCTGTGATGCTTCTCGCCAAGGTCGCATAATGGTCTGTCGCCGGAGGTCAGAAGCCCAGGAGGCCAGGGGAGGTTGGGCCTGACGCCCCCATTAGTAACCTGGGCCCCCCCCACCGCAGCAGAAGGGAGCCAGTGCTCAAGAACCCCCCACAAGTCCCTTCCAGCCGCTCTGCTCTAGGCTTGGAGCCGGCCTTTCCGAAGCAGACAGACAGCCCATGAGACTCAGACCCTCCCCAGCCTCCTCCCTGCCTGCCTGCAAGGCCTGCGTGCTCCGCCGGGGACAAGGCAGACCCCAGAGGCCATCAGGGTCAGGTGTGTGGGGAGAGCTGCAAGGGCGGACGTCCAGAAGCCAGCTCAAAGGACCCGGCGTGCCGTGCGACAACCCCATCTTGTTTCTGCCCTGGGCGCCATGGCCCTCCAGCCGAAGCAGAAGCAAATCATTCATTCCCTCTCAGGCCACACGGTGGGAGCCAGCTGGGCGACGGGTTCTGGGGATCCACAGTGAATTTCACAGCCTGGGCCCTGCCCCAGAAGCTGTGATCCAGGGGTCACGGAGAGCAGACAACAGGGACAGGACAAAGCAGTGTGCGAGGTGACAGACCAGGTCAGGTGTCGCAGCAGAGAGAGGACTGGGCCACAGCAGGGAGCGGGAGGCCGGAATGAGGAGGCTGAGCCAGCCTCGCCCAGCCCAGGGATCAAGCTCCTGACAGGGGAGGCAAGTGAGAGCCCTAGGGCGGCCCTGCCCCTCCTGTTTGTGGACAGGAAGGGAGGCCCGGGCTTGGAAGCTGGTAAGGGAGGATGGGGACATATGAGCTCTCTGTGGTCGGAGGGAGCAGTCTTCCCGGACAGGCAGTGGGGACCCCCAGCCAAGTGACAGGGGGATACACCTGATTCGACACCAACGATTGAAGGAGCACAGGACCGCAGGCTCGGGAGGAGGGACGGCCACTTAGGACAGTCCCCCGGGGGTCTGGGCAGAACATCTCGGGAGCAAAGTGGAGATGGTGCAAAACGGGTGGTTTCGAGAGACCTCTTAGGGCTGCCTTTCTAGGGGGACACAGATGGGATACGAAGGCTGCATCGACAGCTCGGGGCCTGGGCTATCCCGGGAGGGCCAGAGCTGCTCACTGAGACCCGAGGAGAGACAGGGACATGGCAGCCCGGGTGGGACAGAGGCCAGAAGACAGAGGGGCTGCAGGGCTCTCGCCACCAAACCGTAGGGCTGGATGGGACCAGGGAGATGATTTGGCGGACCCCCTCTGACCCAGATGGGACGCTGCAGCCTAAGAGGTTAGCTGGCTGGCCGGGGACCCTGGAGGTGACAGTCTGTGTCTGAACCCTGGTTTTAACCCCTCGTGTGGAGTCCTTTCAGCTGCAACCAGAAGCAATAAAAGACCTGACGTGTGGCCTTTCCCATCTCTGCTGTGTAAATGCTCCCACTGAGGCCAGTTTCAAGGTCCCAAAGCAAGGCCACAACGGCCAGGTCAGGAAAAGACCACAAAGTCGGCCCTCGGGCCAGAGCCCGGCATGGAGCTCAGAACCCTGGGGACAACCTCCCCCGTGGGGTTGGTCATCGTGGCTGCTGAACCCGGGTCCGAATGAGGGCTGCTGCCTTGTGGGCCCCATTCTTCCCTCCAGACACAGTGCCCGAAGGACTTCCCCTTGCCTGAGAAACAGGGCAGCCCGTCACCATGACCTAAGATCCTCCCTCCCCAGGCGGGAGCAGGCAGAGCATGAGGGGAGACAGAGGCACCCTTAGGCTCGCCTCCATTCCGGGTCTGCAGTGTGCATGGCACGACCCCCAGCCAGGCCCAGGAAAGTGCCCCCAGCCCGGGAAGGGCGTAACCCCCCAGCCATTCCCCACCTCACCCTCACCCCACCCATGCGTGACCTCCTGGGTCCAGCAGAGGGTCTGGAGTCCCCACAGGGACCCTCCTCGGTCACAACCCAACATGAGTGTCCCGGCCCCTGTCTGCCCAGCCCGCTTCCCACCACTCCCAACCTCCCGGCACCCCTGCTTCCTCTCCTCCCCCAGACCCGGGCCTCGGCCTGCCCAGCCCTTCCCCTCAGCCAACACACACTTGTTCTTCCAGGCCTGCCTCTTCCAGGAAGCCTCCAGAAGCCGCCCTCTCGTGGTGTGAGTCTTCTGGACACGGATGAGCCTGTCTCCGCACTTGCCCTCAGACCTCAGCGTCCCCCAGCCCCGGCCACCTCTCCCCGCCCGCTCCCCCTCCTCCCCCCTCTTCCCGCAGGCCCCGCCCCAGAGCCGTGCGGTCCGCGGCCACGCGGGGGCGCTCGAGAGTCCCGCGCGAAGGTCCGGACCTGACCTGGCTCCGACCGACCCCCGGACCCGCCCAGAACGAGCCCCGCTTTGGCCTTTGGCTCCGGCGGGGGCGCAGGGCAGGCGGCCGGGACGCTTGGCCTGGTGGAGTCCGCACGCCTCTGCCCTGGTGGCCGCCCCGCTGGGGCTGCTGCTGCCCCGGGGGACGAAGGACAGGGCCGCGGTCACTTGCAGGCCTCCTGCTCCGGAGCCTGCGGGGATTTCCAGCATCCTTAGCCGCTGGCCCCAGGTGTGACGACTTCCCCACGCCTCAGGCCACCTCACAGCCCCTGGGGAGCCCCTGCTGGGCCTGCCAGGAGAGGGGACAGTGGGGGATGGGAAGGCTCTTTGCAGACCACAGGGAACCAGAATCCCTAAGCCACATGGTTCAAGCAAAAAAATGAAAATAATAAAACAGGTGCGAACACCGCAAACAGTAGACCACCCTGGGTGGGGTGAAGGAGGGAAGGGGAGAGAGTGTGTGCGACGCACGGCTCTAGACATACAAATGCCGCTGCAGAAAACCCTCAGCACGGAAGGGCAGTGACCAGCTGCGGACAGGGCACTGGCGCCCAGGCCGGGAGCAAGAGTGGGGTCATGCGCCCCAGAGTCTGAACACGGAGCCAACCAGAGCATCTCAGGGCTACTTTATTTTTTTAAGATTTTTTAATTTACTTGCCAGAGAGAGAGAGCCCAAGCAGGGAGAGCAGCAGACAGAGGGAGAAGCAGGCTCCCCAGCGAGCAGGGAGCCCCATGCGGGACCCGATCCCAGGACCCTGGGACCATGACCCAAGCTGAAGGCAGACGCCTCACCGACTGAGCCACCCAGGCGCCCCTCAGGACCACTTTCTAAGAGCACGGGCTCTGCAGCGGAGCCGCTCCTACTCCAGTCTGTCCCCACTCACGGGCTGCGGCGTTGGGGAGGAGGTTAGCCTTCCCCAGCCTCGGTCGGCTCATCTGAAAACGCCGGGCAGTAAGGAGGGCGCACCGCCCTGAGGTGGGCCCAGGATAAGGCGTGGAGGCAGGTGCCCTCTCGGTGTAGCCACGGGCAAGGCTGAACTGATGTGGGAGGCGCTGACCAGTCCAGGCAGCTCTCGGGAACAATCCAGGTGTAGCAGCAGGAGACATCCCTCGAAGGTTCGAGGTCCGCCTAGTCCCCGCCAGCGAATCGCCCCTCCCCTCCCTGGGCCTCTTCTACCTCTGACTTGCTCTCCACCTCCTTCTCCAGAACCCATCCCCACCCACCCTCCGTAGCTGCCTGACCAGCTGCCCAGGCCCGGAGTCCTGCCTCGCCTTAACGGCCCTGGGTCCCCGGCCCTACAGCCAATGATTTTCCTAGAAGGAGGGTCCCACCCCCAAGGCAGCCTGTTCCCGGAGACCCAGACCAGCCTGCCTGCTCACACCAGCTTCCGACTGGACGGGCCCGGATCCCATCTTGGCCCTTGGGAATTGGCGCCACCTGGCTGGAGGGGACCAGCAGGAGTAGCCACGTGCCTTCACACCTGGAGGGCAGTGAGCACACACCAGTGCCCGTGTAACTACCACGACCCACGGGTCTCCAGAAGACGCCCCGCCTTCCCCCAAGAGCCCACCGAGAGGTTGCTCAGCCTCATCTACTTTCCAGGGGATAGGACGACAGTTATCTTAAGAATCGCTGGATGACTTTTTCAAAGAGAGGAACACTCAGGGCTGCGTGCTCTGAGGCTAAATTTCCCATCTGTGCAGCTGTGGGGCTGACGTGTGCACAGAGGGCCACCCTGAGCTCCCCCCATCACCACCATGCTCACTAATGCAATGCTGTGCAGCCACAGGCAAGTCGCTAACCTCCGGGCCATGTCTTCACTGTAAAATCAGGACTGATGGCGGTATGGTCTCCTAGGCTGGTCCTAACGATTAAACGGGTTATTATTTGCAGACCTCTCAGAACCAGACCTGCAGAAGGCCCACGCGTTCTGCTTTAGGACTTAATGAAGAGACGGGCCGTGGCTAGGGAGAAAGTCACAGCTGCTCTCCTCTCAGTTCCCCTCCACGCCTTTTTGCTTCTCTCACAGAAAGTTTCAGGTCTGTGACCCAAAGCCTTCAGCACCTTGCCGAGGTAGCACAGAGAGGGCCCAGGCTCGGAACTGGGGTGGGCCACGTAACAAAGGGTGGTCTCCATCTCCTTGCCTTGTCTTCATTTTCATGATCACCTTCAGTTTGCAGTGAGTGATTTTCCATTTATATCTGTTATTTCCCATGTTTTCCTTTGAAAATTAACTTAAGTGCAGAAGGGTGAGTTAATTTTTTTAAGATTTTATTTATTTATTTGACAGA